AACTCTTACATGGTAAGGCGTGTCTCCCTTACTCCGCACACACTGCAGTAACTCTTACATGGTAAGGCGTGTCTCCCTTACTCCACACATGCTGCAGTCTCTCGCTGGCACTCCTGACTCACCTCTGCGTGTTCCCGTCCCTCCTTACGTCATGTCCCCTCCCTGCGTCCCCCTGACTGCTCAGGCGTGACCTCGCCTCGACCTTCATGCAGAACGTTCGCTCCCCCCCCCGCAGCTTCTTGGCGGGAGTCGTGGGCCCCTTACGCAGTGCGGTGCCTTTGTTCCCATTTTGTTTTCGCTTCTTCAGGAAGCACGCCGTGAACCCAAACATTCCACGTGTCGGCGGGCAGCCGGCTCCTCTGGGCCTTTTGGTTGTTACCATCCCAGTGTTGCCGTTGTGACCTTCTGCAAGCCTTGTGTCACCCCTTGTCAGCAGGCTGCTCTTGATAAGCTTCTCTGTAGCGTGGTATGTTTGCTGGTGACGTGATGCTGCTCCCGTTTCCGCCTCCTGCAGCATTACAGAGGCCATGAAGGCCCAACCTAAGTGGGAGCTGCTGGACTCTACACTGGTCTTCTACACTGGGTTGGTCCTGATGGTTCTGGGCTCCATCTTCGTCCTGAGCAGCTTCTACGCCCTGGGCTTCACTGGGACCTTCCTCGGTAAGAATTTGTAGTTCTGTTCTAGTTCTGTGTGAGGATTCTCACCTGGAAGCTGCGTTTTTTTTTTTCAGCAAGCGTTCTTTCCAGGCCAAGAATCCCGGAATGGCGTGACCGCCTGCTCTGGCCCTGTTCTCCGTACAGAGTCTTTCACATGCACCCTTCGCTGTGCTAATTAACCGCTCATGTTTTTTTATAACCATGATTTGTTTTCTCAATTTACACATGAACGTGTGAAAACGCCATATGCAAGCAGACAGCCTGCGAATGGCTTGGTGACGAGCTACATCTCCGTTTACTCTGCAGGAACCAAGCAGCGCTGATTTCTGCACCACTACTGAAAATAAGATGTGCTGAATGGGCCCAGTTCAGGGAACCACATACATGCATGGTCCACAGTCTCTGTGATATACAGTACCAGTCAAAAGTTTGGACACACCAAGAAAAGTTTATTTGTACTATTCTCTACATTTTAGAATAATTATAAATAATAATAATGATAATGAACATTTTATTAATCCCCGTGGGGAAATTGTTTTTACGCCTCCCTCACCTTGCTCTTTGTAGAGCAAGCTGTCTGTGAAGGGCAGCCACCTGTAGCGGCGCCCAGGGAGCTGGGGATTGAGGGTCTTGCTCAAGGACCCACAGACGTGCTGAGGCTGGGCTTGAACCGGCGACCTTGTGATTACAGGCACACGGCTTAGCCCACTGAGCCACACGCAGACATCAAAACTATAAATTATAACATATATGGAATTATGCACTGACCTAAGACCCAGAGAGTCTGTTTCTGCCTGTCCACCGAGGGAAGCAGACCCCAGCATTCCCACTGACTCCTTCCGATTTCTGAGAACAAAGTTACAGTTGGCGTGAGTGCAGTACTGATGTGGCTTAGCAGTCATTTTCCCACAATTTCTTGAACTTTGTGGAAACGAGATTGCAGAGATTTGGATTTTCCAGTTGGTCGGATAAGGGACAAGCTCACCAAGCAGAGATTTTGTAATTAATGAAAATACTACTGCCAGAACGATTCAGAAATGCAGATGTTTTTCAAGGAGGGAGAAGAGAGCACATCGCCAGAATGTTGCAGTTTCAAGCGACTCTGTATTTCAGCTCTAGAGTATCCATGCAGGAATCCACGATAATGATTTCAGTGAGACTTTTGCGTCGTTACATTTGGGTGAAATACGTATGTAAAATCTTTTTCTTTTTTAGATGTATTTTTGGTTGTATTGCGGAGACGTGTTTGAAGGTGGGCTGTGTTGGTATGGGGTCTCTGTTGAAGATGACTGATATGTCCCTCTGCCTTGGTGTTGCTGCGACCTCTGATTTTCAAGCCATCCCTGCCCTAAATTAGTACCCCCCCCCCACACACACACTGACTAGCTATCCTCACATAATTGGCCATTACCAAGAAGCCAGCTGCTGCCCCCACTGTTAAGTTAATGGATTGATTCCCCCCCCCCCCTTTCATTCAAGTTGTTCTCAGAATGGTACATTCCATCCTCACTGTCATACAGCAATGGTTCATGGCATCCTGGACAGTGTAGGGTAGGCAGGGGCATTTAACTGAAAGTTTAGCTTAGAATTAGCTTGTTTAGCTTGTTCAGACATGTAATCAGGGCAGCGGAGAAAACAATTGGCTGCCCTCTCCCCACCCTGGAACAGATCTACACCCCCCGATGCCGGAAAAAACCTTTGGACGTTTCACAGGATTCATCACATCCCGGTCACTGTCTCTTTCAGCTTTTGCCATCAGGCAAGAGATACAGAGCCATGAAAACCAGGACAAATCGCCTGAAAAACTGTTTTTTCCCCAAAGCAATCATGGCGCTAAATGCAAAACATAACGGTTAATTTCTTATTCTTCAGTGCAGTCTGTATATTTAGTGCAATTTGTAATTCAGTGCAATATTCAGTGCAATTTGTATATCTTTAATATTTATTACTTTTTTTATGCCTCACATTGAGTCGAGTTGCATTTTCAATTTCATTGTCCTAGTGACAATGAAAAATAAGATTATCTTGATGTTTTTATCTAAATCTAACGTAAGTGTAAATCTAACGTAAGGTGATGTCTGAAGGCCGTTCCCTGGCTACGGTCAGCTGAGCATTAATGTGCCGTCGGGTGCTGACAGTTAGCGCAGGCCGGCTCTGCGGAGGGCGCCGGAGGCCCCGCGTGACGTCCAGAGCCGCTCTGACTGCGTAAGGTCGTGAGTCACTTCAAGCCGCCTTTGGCCTCAGTGGCAGGTGGTGCAGGAGAAACGGCCAACATGGGTCACATGTGCCTTAACTGGGCACTACAGGTTAGCCAGTGTGTAATTGTGTGTGTGTGTGTGTCTGTCTGTCTGTCTGTCTGTGTGTGTTTGTGTATCTGTCTGTGTGTGTGTGTGTGTCTGTCTGTGTGTGTTTGTGTATCTGTGTGTGTGTGTGTATGTGTGTGTGTGCCCTGCAATTGATTGACATCCCATCCAGAGTGGGCCCATTTACCATTTACCAGGCCTTCTTGCAACACTAACTAGGAAAAAGAGATTAGTGTATGGATGGATAGATGGATAGACTGACTGATAGATGGATATAATAATCTGGAAAATTCACTGAAAGAAAGAGTATAATTAGTCATTATAAGCAGGTTCACTATAACACAGTAAGTTACCCGACCCTGCAACCTTATCCGGGTCCCTGTTACTGACCGGCGGCTCATTAAATGAAATAACTTTTTTTTTTTTCCAGATGCTTGCTTTTTGTGAAAGGCTGATTTCCAGCTGTCTGCTTCTGAAGGCAGGTTATCAATGACCCCGCCCCCCTGCCCCCACCCCCGCCCCCTTCCTACGCAGGTGTGTCGTGTTTAGTTTGGATATATGGAAATGTTTTTCCACTTTGATGACGGGGCCTGGTTATATAACGCTGGAGATGACCCCTTTGTCCTCCTCTCCCCATTGCGCTTAATTGACGACCCCCCATCTTCCCCAGGTGTGATACCTGCTTTGTTCTCATGGAAAATGGGCCAGTGGGGATGAATTTGAAATAACTGGGTTTCTCTGGGCTGGGGGTTGCTGGTTGACAATGACAGGCACTGTGAGAGTTGAATAAAAAGTTGTTATTGAAGCAGGTGGTGCAGATTTGCTTTGGTTTCATTTGTCGCTGTAGTCAAGGGGGGAAATCCCGCCCCCGGCCCACATCTGAGGGTCCTGCCATTGGCTTTCAGGGATGTCAGTCCGGCTGAATGCTGGCTAATCAGATTATGGGAAACGGGGCCTAGCTGAAGGCAGGTATCTGTTTTAATGTGTATTGCAGATGCTCAGATTCTGAAAAATCAGTGAATTGTACGACTTTCTATTATCATATCATGAGCACTGAATGTGGCAAAGAGCCAGAATAGAGGCCATTGAAATGACATAAAATATGAAATATTCTGTATCTTTGATGAATGTGCCGGCTGCTCGTGGGTGGAGGTTCCGTGCGTGAGTGTCCGTGTTCAGAACACTCATCCCGGGTTCTCCAACGGACATTTAAGAATGTAGCCAGTGCGCGCCTCTGAGGCGCCGCGGCCTCTTATAGAGGCACTGCGGCCTCTTATAGAGGCGCTGTCACGCCGACCTCCATCTGCTTGACTGCTCCCTAACTCTGACCGGCTGCTTTTCTCTGCCGCTTCTCTGTCTCCCAGGCGACTACTTCGGCATCCTGATGGAGCACAGGATCACGGGCTTCCCCTTCAACGTGATGGACAACCCCATGTACTGGGGCAGCACCGGAAACTACCTGGGTCTGGCGCTGATGTGAGTACGGCCAGAGGTAGCCGTGTTTGCGTGTTTGAACACGTGCAGTGGTGGGTGGGGTGGAGATCAGGGAGGCAGAGTGCATCGGGGAAAATACACAACATGCAATAATGAGCGTTGCTGTTTTCGACCAATCGTGTGTGAGGACCTTGACGGTCACATGACCCGAGAGGGCAGGAGATCAGCTTTTTAGTTGTTTATCCTTTAGCTTCATGATTTACTGGAGTGCTGGCCAAACAAATAAATAATACAAATGCATTAACCTTTTTCAGACAACTGACAAATATTTAGATGCTCATTCAGAGACTTTGAGGAAAACGGTACAAGCAGTCAAAACAACATACATTTTTTTATAAAATAAAAAGAGTGTTTCATGGTTGATTGTTTAGTTGTAGGTTGTGTTGGCGTCTTTTCAGGAAGCAGGTGTTTGTTTTGTTTCTGGGTCTGTTTGTGGACTCTGGATTTTGTTAGATTTTTTCCTTCCGTCTGGTATATATATAAGTGAGAAAAGCTGAACAGTCTGTATTTCCACCGAATAGCCGCGTGACTCACTGCAAAGCGGGTCCCGATCGGGCTGAAAATGTGGCTAATGACAGCCCCTCTCAAGAGTCTCCAGTTACTTTTTGCCGGGGGGGGGGGGCAACTTTGCGCTCGGTGCCCCATCTCCATGGCGATGGTGACTGAGCAGCAAGTGACTGCCGTGTGCCGTTGCTAAGCAAAACGGACGGCCGTTTCCGCAGAGTATCAGCCCCCCCTCAGGGGCCTCCTCATCTCTATCCCTCTCCAGCATTCCTACTCTTGCAGCCCTGGATCAGAACCAGACCCTCCATCTGCCCCCCCTGCCTGCTCAGTAATGCCCCCTGGCAAGGGTCTGGTGACCCCGCTAAGAGGAACATAAGGTGAGGGGAGCAGCACATGGTTCTGGGGGTTTGGGTCCCGTGTTGCTCTTGTATGTGTGTGCCCAATCCGAACCCACCGGTCCTGTTTCACACGTGTAGCATCCTAGCACACTGACAGACTTAGTATGCTTATAGTGTGCTGGTCTGCTTGCAGATCATAGTCATTCATTGTTATCACCCACTGCAAGGTTGCAGTGAGCCTGGAACCCATAAAGATGCCGTAGCAGGCCAACACAGAGGGCACACTCACCCCCTGGGCAATTTAGAAGCATCGATTTACCTAACTGCATGTCAGAAGAAACATGGGGAGAGTGGGATTCAAACCCACAACCTCACCAACATGAGGCCACAGTGCTTTTGCTGTGGTTGTTTTGGTTTCTTAGTGGAAAGAAGCTCAATTTGATCTCACTCTGCTATGTTAATCGCAGTCATTGTCCGCCTGAGGTATGCAGGCCCCTGTTGGGGCAGTTTGTGCCCCCCCCCCCCATCCCAGCTGTGCAGGTCAGCAGCAGCCCACTGCAGGAGAATCATCAAGGGATGGAATCTGGAAAGTCTACACGGCCGTTCAGAGGGTCTGGCCCGGGGATTAGACTTGCGGGCGGTCTATAGGCGACATAGATGATTGCGGGGTGGGGGGGCATCATCTTAAGGGGTTCAACCCTCTCCTCCCTGAAGTTAAGGAGCTCTGCGCAGGTTGCTTGTTTAAGGGGTAATCATGCTGCGTGAAGGTGGCTGACTTATGAAATCACCGTGTCAGAAACTGGAGGGAGGCCACGGCGACCCGCTCTGTGTGGTTCCCAGCCTACTGGCATATTCACATTTATTTGGCTGGTCCTGCAAGATGTACAGCTGTGGCAGGTCATACATCATGGGCATACAGCTGTGATGCGAGAGCTTTGGCACGAGGGCTTCAGGAGATAGACGATAAACGAGCATGAGGTAGTCTGTGTATTTCATCTTTCACTTTCTAGGTACCCCAGGTCTGGTGACAGAATCGGCATAATCAGCTCATTACCTTAATTCTGACTATTGCCTCACAGACCTTCACAGCTTCAGTGGGCCCCGAAATCTCTTTCTCAGAATGACCCCGTTTTCAGCGCTCTGGCTCACCAGCGACAGGTGCTCGCTCCCGCTCCCACCCCGGCCACCGCGTCACGCGGCATGACTGGGCCGTCTGCAAGCAACCGCGAGTTTAACGAGACGCTTCTCACGCCTAATCGGCTTTCAGGCGACAGCTGCATTATAACCCTTATTCTTCGTTATAATTATTACTCGTTTATCCAAGAGCTGTGTAGAAATTCAGCCATTTTTTGGGATGAATTTTTCAGTTTTAGTCTTGATCTGGGGGCTTCATCAAGGCTAAAGGCTACATGCCTTGTCTTAGCCCCAAATTGCCCTGGACTCCCGTCACAGGAAGTGGGGTCCAGCTCCATGGAACATTGTGGAACGCGTTCTTCTCCTGCAGCTCCATGGAACATTGTGGAACGCGTTNCAGCTCCATGGAACATTGTGGAACGCGTTCTTCTCCTGCAGCTCCATGGAACATTGTGGAACGCGTTTTTCTTCTGCAGCTCCATGGAACATTGTGGAACGCATTTTTTCCTGCAGCTCCATGGAACATTGTGGAACGCATTTTTTCCTGCAGCTCCATGGAACATTGTGGAACGCATTATTTCCTGCAGTCCCTCGAACTTCTGCCTTCTGCTAACTGACACCTTTCTCAATGTACCGGCATGGGAGTTTATCATCCAAATAGCAGGTAAATGTAACCCCACACCCCCACCTCCATGTATTTAGTATCATTGCTTAGTTGCTGGCTCTGTCACCATGGCAACCGAGACTGGTCCATGCTTACGCAGCAACATCTAAGTAAGATCATCTTGGTCATTTGTCACTGTATAGTTGACTATAAAATGCGCCCCCCCCCCCTTTTTCCCTGCTCTCATATTTTGATGGCATGTGTGACATCACAGCCTAATTGCTGTTTGGTTTCCATAGAAACCGCATTTATGAATTAAAAAGACCTGCAGTCCCTACAGCCGTGACTCTGAAAAACAAGCAGCCGGCACAGCGGGGCTCGAGGACGGCCTGATCGAATCCGGCCCTGCAGAAGGCGGCACGTTAATCAGCACATGTGGTGCTTTTCAGATTAATTAACAGGTGGAAGGACTTTATAGTTGAAAAGTTTCGAGTGCAGCTGTGGTGAAATATGAGGCTAAAGCAAAGCAGAAGCACTTCAGTTTGTTTCTGAATTACAAAAGGGGACAAACAGGCAGATCCTTGGATGTCAAAGAGTCGCCGTCTGAGATACTGAGCCGTCATTCTCTCTATTTGTATTTTCTTGAGCTAGAGCCGTGTTTCCTTCCAGTGGTACATTACCATTAATACGTCCTCCATGCTTATCAGTGATGTACTTGTACTGTTTACTGGGCTGACTGAAGCTCTTCCCGGATTTCAGTTTAATTTTATATAGCGCCTTGCCACAGTCAATTGTTACATCATGTATAGTAAGTGGCGAGTGGAAAACGAAGGAAGGAGATAACAGAGGAGAGGAACCAAAGACTCCCAAGTAGGGAGAAAAAAAACTTCTGTGGTTCCAAGGTCAACATGCTGCCCAAGCCCAAGCCCCCCAGACCTGCTAACATTCTGGAATGCAGGGAGGGTCAGGCAGCTCTTATGAAGGGGGGTGTAGCAGATCAGCCGCGGTCTGTCGGCGCCTAAGAAAGCTCAAACGGTTCAGCTGTCCGTTCCGGTATCGGCTGTCTGCACGACATCGAGATTCGTATCACAGCCTGGTGGTGTTTTCAGTTTAGGGCGTCGGACTGGGGCAGACGTCAGACGCGGCCGCACCATCCTCTGCTTATCACCCTGACGCCTAGATTACCCCGTGCATGCTGTCACCTCAGACCTGCTTCTCCCCCGGCAGTCAGCATTTTAAGTTCCTCTCCAAACTGACATCATAATAGTCGAATAGTGACATTTCACTGACCCCCATGGGAAATGGTCTTTTCTCCTACCCCACGTCGCTCTCCGTGACACACAGACAGATGACGGTAGGTTTGGGGGCCACACTACAGGGTCAGCCGGCATTCAGCAGCCCTGGAGCTGGGGCCCCATGGTAGTAATAGTCTGGCAGGATTTGAACCAGCAACCTTCTGATCCCAGGCATTGTGTTTTGACCTGCTGAGCCATACGCCAGTCCCCGTAAGCTGTAACCCCATAACGGTGCAAGATGAAGAACCATTGCTGAAGGTTCCAGAGTCAGACCACGTAAAAGGCCGATTACCGGAAACTTCTCGCTCACTCTCAGACGATCCATTCTAAGGCCCTTTGACCAGCTGTTTTATTTTCTCTTCCTTCCCCCTCGCCATCGCTCCCGCCCCCTGCAATCCGCCGTGGCCCCCATTTGTGCCGCATGGTCCATTTCACCTCCGCGCAGCAGTCTGACCGCCGTGACTCCGCAAACGGGCCGTTTCACATTAACCGAGTTTCCCCAGACGTCTGCAGAAAGGCCATCTGTCGGCCGTTAGAAGGAGCGAAAATGTTGCAGCACTAACTACAGCGACCCCCACCTTTACTCTCTTCTGCATGAGTGTTACTATGCATTCATTTCTCCTTGTGGCCCCCCGTCAATGAGATTGACCCACTTCCTTTAATGGCCACCATTACCGGGGGGTGAATGCGTCCATTCGCTTGATGACAGTACATGCCCCCCCCCCCCCCCCCCCACCAGTGTATTCCTATTAGCTGTCGTAATGCTCTCAGCACGCCCCTTCCTGCTGCGTAATCGTTACTGGGGGGGCATGTGGAGATGCGGGCAGGAAGCGATTGTCTAAGCTGTGGATGGCATGAGAACCGTGCTTATTTGATCCGGGGGGGGCAGCTGGTGACTCCCAGCGGGACCCTGGTCCCACCGTCCCGTTTTGGGCTGACGGGGGTCAGCAGTCGTTTAGCAGCTGCTGACGACTCTGCGCACTGATGTCAGCGACCCCGAGCCGCGTGGCTGGGGGGGCTGATGCCTGGACCGCAGGGCCTGAAAATCAGCCTTCACGTCCTTCAGATTGTTCCCGAGGCCCTGATTGGACGCATGTGATGGGTGTGGCTTAATAGTGTGGTCTGTACAAACACACGGCCTTCAATGTCTGTCTGCGTGAGATAGGGAAGGGTGAGTTGTCACCCTGTAGTCACCCAACACGCGTCAACTCACGCTTCTGCTGGGGGGGGTAACAGTGTCGACTCTTCTGGAATCGTTAAGCTCGTTCGGGGTAGTCGTCTGGCTTTCTTTCGTCCTTTCTTTCGTCCTTTCTAACTTTCATCCTTTCTTTCGTCCTTTCTTTCTTTCATCCTTTCTCTTCCCTTTCCCCTGTTTCTGTATTATTCTGACTTGATGATGATGTAATGCACACACCCATGTAAAGCGCCTTGAGGCAACACGGTTGTGAAAGGCGCTATATAAAAATGAATTAAATTGAACTGAACTGAATTTGCCTTTTGTACAGTTGGTAACATAAAGCATGATTAGACAGCACAAAACAAAACAAGGTCACTCGTGCATCAGAGTAGACAAATGGTTAGGAAGTATAAATATGTGAAATAAATATACAAATTTAAAAATGGCTGAAAGACAAAATATGCAGAGTGCAATGTGTGAAGTATCGCTCCGTCCAGAAAAGTGTGATGAGCGTCTATGGCCTTATTATATATCTGAGTGCAGAGCTGCAGGAGCTACCCTGGGTCGTCCTAAGGTCGCGGCTTGGGGGCGCTGTCAGGTCACATGACCACAGTTCGTCTGTTGGTCGAACCTCTGCTGAGACCTGGTTTGAAATTTCTAAGTTCCAGATTCCAAAAGGGTTTTAAGGGTAACATTCCTCCATTTAAATATAAATGTTTTAAAAAATGTTTTCACCTACTGATTACGACTGTCAGCAATCGCTCATTGTTTCAAGTGCTGGAACAGTGAAGTTCATGAATTATTGATTAACCACTTAAGATGAAATACTTAATATCTGCTTAATTTGTGCCTAATTATTTATCAGTGGTGTAAGTGAGCAAAATCACGTTGAGGGGAAAGTGCACTTTAATTGTCATTAGTGTGGAATTGGCGTGGGAGGGGGGCTGTTCTTCATAGAAACTCAATAAACTGCTGAGTACAAAAGTAGGAGGAGCCTTAGCGCGTACGGACTGTGCCAGTAGCGCAGTGACGGCGTGTACAGACTGTGCAAGCAGCGCAGTGACAACGCATACGCCGCTGCCGGGGTACCACTGCACGCTGTGTCCAGTAGGGTGAGCAGTTGTTAGCGCACCGTGTTCTTGCAGCATTTGTTGCTGATGATGATCTTTGCCCTTCTTCCTCAGTGCCCATTCTGTATGCATGGTCCTTTACATCTCTGTACATCTGTTTTAGCATGGTAAATTACCCATGTATATGCCAGTGTCGTGTCTCCTGTACAGTTTTCAGAATGCAGACTACAGCTGTATCACAACTTTGTTGCAGTCTGCACACACACACAGACACACACACACACACATACATTTTTATAGGAAGTTTTGACTCCACTTATGTGACACATAAGCTACAGTCACAAGGTCCAAACACCATTCATTCATTCAAGTGGTGTCTGTCTTTCTGTGTGCTCAGAAAAAGGCAGTGTGTGACTTACTGGGTTAGGACCCTGTGTACGTGATCGGATGGTCACTGGTTTAAATCCCAGGCTGGCAGATTGATGTCACCATTGGGTCCCTGAGCGAGGCCCTTAACCCCCAGTTACTCCAGAGACTGGATGACCCTGCTTTGGGTAAAACTCTCTGCTAAATAAATAAAAGATAAAATGTGTTGTCAGGGATGGCTTTGAATGTTGCTCCAAAGAGGATTTCTGTTCAGACTAAGAGCCATGATTACAGGCAGCATCAGGCTGGGCTTGGCTAACAGCTGGGGGTATGACGTCACCATGGCGATGACCATTACCGGCTACCTTGTTTACGGATGCAGCGGTTCTTTGTGGCTCAGCCCGGCTGCTGTCTGCGCTCTGATTAGCAGTAACAGCCCGGGCTGATTGCTGTTGGACTTTCTGCGATTTGACTGTGGTGTGAGTAAACGAGCCTCGATCAATCCGTACCCCCCTCCGGAATGCGGGCTGACGGCTCTTTGGGGAAAAACATGTGTCTTCAATGCTTACCATGCTGTCCTTTCTGTGTTCCTTTTTTTACAGTCATTTCTCAAGTCTTTTATATACGCCTCTAGGGTTGTGGGTTCGAATCCCGCTCTGTGGGCACTAGATTGCCAATGGCGTGTGATGGTGTGCATGTGAGTTTTGAGCCTGTGATCGACTGGCCTCCCCTGCCTTGTGGCCCATGCCTCATGGAATCAGCTTCTGCATTATCCCCACGCAGTACAGGATGAGTGGTCATGGAAAATCAGTGGATGGGTATATTCTTACTCAGAGATTTTTTACCACCGAAAGAGACCGGGCTTCTGGAATCATCCGAATAAGCAGTTTCATTTCAAATTTACTGAATAGTCCTGGGTGCAAGAATTACTGGGAGAATGAATTAAGGCCAGAGGGAAAAAAACTCCGGTTAACAAAGTGCGGAGCAGCAGCGCATCGATGATGACGACGACGACGACGGCGACGATGACGATGATGATGACGATGATGATGATGATAATGACGACGATGATGATGGTGATGATGACAATGACGACGATGATGATGACGACGATGACAACGATGATGATGGTGATGATGATGATGACGATGATGATGACAACGATGACGATGATGACGCTAATGTTATTCTTGTTGGTCCCTCTTGCTTTATGGTCCGACCGTCACCAGCCTGAAGTCCCAGACAGTGAGGCTTACAAACAGATTATTTACACACGCTATTTACAGCCTGGCCTCACCCAGTCTAAGTCTGTTAAAAGGACTAACAACTCCGGAATCATAACTCTGAAACTAAAGTCTGTTTATCTATTTATCCATTCGCTTCATTCAAGTCCATGGCAAATTTGCACAGTGTTTCCCAAACAATCACATGGTTAACTGTATTTATTTTGTCTATGTTTTAATGCCGATATCTCTTGTTTGTATGTTTAACCATTAATATTCTATTTATTGCCATTTATTTGCACTACGACCAACACGAATGATACTCCGCCTTGGTGTGTGACTCTATGCATCATGAATCTGACACAGACAATAACAAACTCTTTGGCTGTGACCCTTGAGGACCTACTGTTGCTTACATTATTCCTGACTGTCTGCGTGTTTTTATACCTGTAATGGGCTGCTACTCGATCGATATGGGGTATTATTAGTGGAAGGAGGTCAGAGCGGGGAATGGGAATGAGGCTGAATCGATCACTCGAATCTCCATGGCGATCAATCGTCAGCCACTGTGCCGACGGGTGAACGGGCTAACGAGGCTCGGCCGAGCCCGATCAGTGGCCAGGCTGATGGCCTTTAAATGTGGCCGTGGCACGTGCCTCAGGAACCGCTGCTTATTTTGGGTGTTTGTCCCTTATTGAATGGGCCCTGGTCCCATTTCGAGGCGATAAATCCGTCTGTGTTGCCCGCTGCCCCGTCGGGGCCCTTGACCGTGCAATCGGCCGTGATAAATGATATTGGCAAAGTGTCACGTGTGGCTGGTTTCGGTTCGATGATGTTTAATACGGCCGTCTTTCTGCACTTTACTGTTTGTCCTGTGATGACGCTGTGCGCCTTTAACTATGCGGGGCTTTAATGCAGAGTACGGCCGCTCCGCTCCGTCTGTGGGAGTCGCCGTGCCTGTGGTTTTACCCATAGTGTCACATGGGTGGTTTGGCATGAGTGACGTCTGTCCATCCATGCATCAATTAACCACTTACCTGGCAGGGGTGGGGCTGGGTGTGGCCATGCGGGCAGACTATGATTGGTCCACACTGACGTGTAAATGTGACATTTACCTTCATTTAGCAGCCATTTTGATCCAAAGCGATGCCTAAGCAGGCCAGACCGCACATTACAACTAGGCTGGGTGTCTAATGAGGAAGCACTGGGACCTCTGGAGGGTAACCAGTGCCAGTTTGCGTTGGGGCCAGAGCTGCATGGTACCTAACGCAGCACTGGGAATGCAGTGGACCCGCCCTCTTTGTTTAGACATGTGCCTGCTTCTGTAGGTGGCCCATTTCCATCTCCTACTCAGTGATTCATAAATAATATAAGAACCTATTAATTGAAGTTCATGTTGGCTCAGTGAGTAGCAGTTTGTGCCTCCAACCTTATGGGTTATTTGTAAGTTCTGCCTCTGCTCCGTAAGTGTGCAGTTCGCATCTTCTCCGTGCCTCTGCTCCCTGAGTGTGCCAGTCTATCTCTAAGTCGCCCTGCGATAGACTGGCACCCTGAACAGCGTGTACCCAGGACCCCGTGCCGCCTGGGACGGCTTCTGTGCCCCCTGCTGCCTGGGATGGGTTCTGTGCCCCCTGGGATGGGTTCCAGGCCCCCTGCTGCCTGGGATGGGTTCTGTGCCCCCTGGGATGGGTTCCAGGCACCCGGGGACTCTGATCAGGATGAGCAGCTAGAAGTGAAATGAAGTTCAAACAGATGAGTCAGCCTCCATAAATAATCAAGGTTGTGTCCGATGAGTATGTGTGAAATAAGCAAATAAACTTCTATTATTTGTTACCATTATTTGTTTGTCTGGGGATTTTTAATTAGCCATCCCATTTATCACATATCCCCGTTTTATATAAAAAGAAGTATGATGATCTAAAATGAGTCAGAAGCAGTCAGTGCCCTTTAATTGCACATCCTCAGCACCAGAATCAGGTCAAGAGCAGTTATAAAACAGGAACGCGGAAGAAAGTTTCCTTGGTGACCTTTCTGGGTAAATGTAAGGATTGCTTTTTCCTTCTCTCAATGGGATCTGGACCAACAGTCCTATTCATTCACCGGAAGAGCTGCTCTTATGTGACATGTCTGACATACATGCAGCTCCGTGTAACGCTGATTCATTCTAACCAGCTCCATCCAGTTACCTGCCTTCTGCTGATAGAGTAACATGTGACCCTGACCATGTGACCTCCTTCTGCCCCCCTACAGCCATGCCAGTCCTGTAGGCCTCATCCTGACCGTGGTTGTGGGAGTCTGCTACAAGGTGGCGCTCTTCTTCGAAGGGTAACTCTGTTTTATTGGCTCACCTTCTTCCCTCTCCCTTCCACCTTTGACTGTCAGTGCAGAGTGGACTGTGAGTCTGAGCGAATGTAGGGGTGCGTTGGTTTGACTCCCCGTAGTGGCTGTTTGTGGCCCCTGAGAGCCCCTATAAATGCCCAGTTTGAGTGGTGAACACTGCCGCTGCATGCGCCCCATTCTCCTCTGTAACACGCCTAAGATTGCCGTCGTTGCTGCGCTTCCATGGACCCACCCCTGCCCCCCAACAGCCGCTTTCAGATTTGCTTTGATGCCATAAGTATGTGCAGTTATGTCCTAAAACAGGCGCGTGGTTCTGCAGGTTAGGATGCAGAAGCCCCTGATCGTAAGGTTGTCGGTTCAAATCCTATGGCAGGAAGAGTGAGTAAAGCCCTTATTCCTGAAAACTACCCCAGGGGTGCCAGATAATGGGTGAGCTAGGCCACACCTGTCATGTTTCACAACATACCTTTTTTTATCTTTTTTAATTAACTGAAAAAACTTCAGGTATAATTCTTCACCTGTAGCGACACAGTAGGTGACCCTGTACAATTTTACTTTGACACATAGAGATGTGTATGTATACAAAGAGGTGTGTTTCTGGACAGATTAATGGAAACGCCAAATGACAAAGGACTTGAAAGCACAATGACAGACGCAGCTGCAGACGTGAGTCATGTTCCTCTGAAAGCCGGTTACTGGTACGTGTCAGATGTAAGACTGGCCTCCCAGTCAAAATCTTATTTAGTGGGTTTCAAGAAACTTTCAAGGATCCTGGCAACTGGCAGAGACCTGAGTCACAAAAGCCGGCAAATGCCGCATCATAGCGGCCGCCTGGAGGATCAGGACGGCGCTGCGGGTTTCAGAGCCCAGGACCGGGATGTACAGCAGTGTGGGGCATGGAGCAGATTCTCAACGGCTTCATCTTCCAACGCACTGGAGGTTGTTCTTCTTGGAGAACAGACCAGTATCCCCACAGGCACAGATCAGGGCTGTATTCCAGGATAGCCTGGTTCTTCTAAAGATAAGCGCCGCCCTACTCTTCATTCGGTCTGTTATATTAGTAAATGGTCAGGCCCTGCAGATGGTAGATATACATACACACAGTCAGACATTTTAACTGCAGTATCTACACACCCGTTGCAGGTACTCGTGCCGCGTCTTCAGCCACTATGGCAGACACGACCCCCAGTGACCCGCCGGTTGCCACAGTAACCTGGCCCCGCGACGTGTCGATCCCCTTTCCTACTGACCTACTTCGGCATGCACATTGTGCACGAAGAACTGAAGATGACTCAACCGTGAGGGGGGAGTTCGGGTTCATAGTGGGCTCGTTGGCCCCCCCAGGCCATGTCAGCCAAAGCACTGTGCTAAAGAGTAGTAAATAACACACCCCCCTCTGGCGCCCCCTAGGGAGACTGCAGCTTCCTGTGGTGAGGCAATTGTGTGCTTGTTCTTGTCGTTGTTTTTCTCCCGTTATCATTTAAATATACATTAGTTACGCACCTTTTTCTGTTCCTTGGTGATGTTAACAGGAAGCTGAAGTGTGTAAGAACAGTGGGCTGTGATTGGATCGCCTCACGCTACTCTGTTTGCACGTCACGGACTGAAACGTAAACGCGGCTCGTGTGTCGGTGATCGCCTAGTTAGGCCTGAGGATGCCGCGGTAATGTCTCCGACATTCATGGGACCGTGCGCCGGCTTTTCCGCTTGCCGCGATGGATTTCCTGATTTTCCTCGGGTGAGAGATAACGTCGGAACACAAACATGCCCACGTTCACCGATGCTGCCTCGCAGATGAGATACTGCAGCGTTCCGGCCCGTGACCACCGGGCCGTGAGCCAGATAGCACCGCTGTCGGGCACAGGATCGATGATGTGTTTGCACCCCCCACCCTCCCACCTGTTTGGTCTCCGCCCGTGCCTGGTACGGGGTGGCACGGTGACAGCGGAGCCACCAGGACCTCACGGTTTATGGTTGCCTGTGTTTGCAGACCATTCACCGAGGCAGTCTACCGGGAGAAAGCCTGCCACTCCAAGAGCCAGTGATGGAGGTGGACATCCGAAAGAACTCCCCCCTCCTACCGTGACCAGCTCACCTGGCACAGCCCCAACAGACAACTCCATCTGCCACCATCTTCAGCTGTTTATTTCCTGGAGCGCCCAATCTGAAGGAGTGGGCGTGGCCAGACACAAAGACCATCCAATCATTTTTGGGACAGCTGGCAGGGAGCCTATAGATGCAGAGGGTGTTTCAGGAGGGGGAGGGGTTGTAATTCCAGTGGCCAGTGGAAAGTTACACTAATGGCATAAACACTGTTTCCTTTGGCCTGTCATTGATTCGTTCCTTCACATGTAAACTGCTCCCAGGCTGATTAATGGCCGACCTTCTGCTGAGACCCCAAGCTCTGCTCTCGCCCCTGTGTGTGAAAACCAAAGCATTCCATTCATACAAATGGCAAATAAAGCATCATTATTATTGCAGCTGAATCTATGTATGTCTGTATATACATTTGTACTGATTCCATTCACTGCTGTTCTGGTTCTTAAACGGCATCTAGTTGGATGTTGGTGTCAGCTCTTTTGGGAGTGGGGGTGCAATAATCAGTGAGCGCTACTAATGCGAGTCCTTCACCCCCATCCCC